ACTCACTCAAACCGAGTATTGGAGGCGGTTGAGGGCAGATGAGATGACTCCACGTGCACAAATAGCAATGCCATTACGGCATGCCGGCATTATGTGAACGTCCGAGCCGAATATTTCAGCCTCAGAAACTACATAACAGTTTTGATTCGGTAGTCTTGGCTCATTCCCAGAGATGGGTTCCGACGGTTGAAGTTCACAGGTCTCGACTTGTTACGGCCGCCTGCTGTCGGAGGGCAAAGAATCTATGTCCTAGATGAAGCTTTCATTATCCTTTCTATTATGGAAGAGATAATGATGGCGGATGGGCCAATTGTAGATGAGCACTGAACTATTGTCTGCAACTGCAAGACGTCAACAGGTTTTCTAGGACGGCGCACAGACTCGCCTGATAGAGGGTTAAGCACTGAAACTTTCAGTGGCTGCCTTCAGTCTTTATCTCAGCGTTATCGACCTGATTTCGATGACTGATGAGGCCCGGGAAGTTCAGGCCAGCAAGTTGACCTCAACCAAACTGCTCGAGATAGTCTCCTCAGTACTGTCTCACCGTGTAGCAGCATGAGGTTCACCTCATCACGTCGAATTGGGCAAGGTGACTCGACCGAGCATTCTACTGCACATCCAAGAATCATCTGGTTGGCATCAGAACAAGCATTTCTCGTAATGCTGGCCATACTTGAGCGGCACGCGTCAAGAAGTCGTACTTCTGAATGCTTGCGCCCTTCTATCCAGGACCTGGACGCTCCGAATACCTGGATTCCAGGTATTCGGAGTGTTCAGTATGTAACTTCTTTTGCGAACCCAGTCTGCAATACATCTACGACCTGATCTATGGTTTCCATGTCATTAGGGTTGTGTGATACTTGTATCGTTGACGAGAAAATCTATGAGTGAATTGTCGCTACAGACGACATATTCAAACGCACGCTTCGACGTGAACGGTTAGAGGATATTTGGAGATACATTCCAGGTCATTGAATACTTTCCTGTTTCATTTTCAGACAAGGTGGAACTCGATCACGTCCTTCAAGGCAATGAACTTCTCATACACGAGACTATTGTCAACGAGAATCCTGTGCCTTTTGATGGTGAGCTGAAGATCGTCGGAGAGACTGACGACGTGGTCGCTGTAGACAAGCCCTCCGGGGTAAGTAGCGCGTCAGCCAGAGGCCGAGTCGGTTCATCAGCAATTTTCCTCTCCAGATGCCGGTACACTCAGGCGGCGGTCACAGAGTGAATTGCTTGTCGGCTATTCTCAAAGAGCAAGATCCTTCGAGGTAGGTTAGGAAGAGTCCCCAGTTTTGAGGCAGTTGGCTTTTGTAGGTTCTCTCTTGCCATTCACACTCTCCACCGCTTGGACCGCTTAACGTCGGGCATTGTTATACTAGGGAAGAATCCAGACGTGGCTCGAGCCTTCAGTACGAGGACCAATTGTCGCTGTGGATATCTAGTAATGTTGAATGCAGGTGAAGCCTTCAAAAAGCATGATCAAGAAATACAGAAATGCTACTTAGCCAGGGTGAAGGGAAAATTCGAAGGTGGAGCTGGTCGATATACCAAGGCCTCGACTCTTTGTTTCCAGGCTCCAATGTCGTCGTCGAGGGGTTCATGCGCTGCGTTGACTTCAGAGTTGGAAAGTTCATTCTTGTCAACTCTAATAAAGGAACAGCATCTGAAGACGCAAACCAGGGTGATGCTCCGACGTCCACGCCCTCCGGGGATGACAAAAGCGCCGTTGAGGAGGATCATATCGAGGATAAATGGAGCCAAACAAGTTTCGATAAGGTGTGGTATGATGAACAGAACGATGAGACTATCATCAAATGTTACCCCAAGACCGGCAGAACCCATCAGATCAGGGTAGGTACCATCTGAGTCTCCGAGTCGTATCCCCACTTTCGCAGGTCCATCTCGAGTCCATCGGCCATCCCATCGCCAACGATAGCTGCTACGGTGGAGAGTACAAGGCTGATCATCCCTTCGCATTCCCATTGGCGCCCCATGCCAATAATGTTCCTCCGAAGGAAGGTTCATCCTACTCCCATATAACTGGTATTTGGCTCCACGCTCTCTCTTACAAAGTGCCGAGTAAGAACCTGGACTTTACCAGTGAGTGGCCCAAATGGGCGATTGAGCCGACTCAGCAGTCGTGAGACCCAACGTTACTCTTCCTCGATATTTCGATTTGTGTTGCCGAGTGTTATGAGGGCCGCAATATCTCTAGAAGAGATTCTCAAAGTATCATCCCTTTCAACGTGCAACTCACTCGATGGGAGGTGGTCGCCTTACCCCTGCTTTCGAGTATATTTTCGAGTGTATCGATATGGTTTCGCGGCAAGGCATTCGCAATAGATCAAACGTGCACCGCGATTTGCATACTAGTTCGGATTGCCGGTTCTATAATAACGATTGATATTGATGTTCTTTTAATATCGTTTTGATTGACGGTTCGAGTCTCGAACTTCAGGAGCCAACTCACTTAACACGACTCGAAGGTTGGAAATTTGATATTTCTACACTGCTCAACATGACTTGAGCCACTACAGTTTGTGCTGTGGGGTGGCAGATCTATATAGTGTTACCACCGCCGCTCCACCGAAACCAAAGTTGTGCTGAAGCCCAACTCGAGCGCCGGTGACCTAGCTAGGAACCGATACAGAGTGAAATTAGCTTCGCGGGCACCTGTCTTTTTCCAGCCCTCCTTGTCAGCTGTCGATGGAGTTCAACACATTGCGCTACTCCAGTCGCTGCTATCGGGTGCCCTTTCGATTCGAGTCCTCCGGAAGGATTGATAACAACACTTGACCCAATGACCGTGTGTTGTTCACAGTATCTGCAAGCCAGAGAGATGATGCCGATCATTCCTCCCTGAGACCACTTACTTCCCGCCTTCACTGTTTTCTCGCCAGCGCATATTTTCTACCATCGCCAAGCCCTGTCCTGGAGGGGCGAAGCCAAGAGCCTCATATCTAAAGCCGCTATATCTGTGGCAACCCTCAGAATGATCCACTTGCGGGACAAGAGAAACCGATCGTAGTAGCACGTGAATAAACGTCCGTAACTTTGGCTTACACAACAGCTCGTTGATCGAGAAGCATCATGCAGCTCCACGACCTGTGGGAA